CTGTCAATCCCCACACTGCTGTGTAGGACTGCAGCTCCCCACAATTCCTGGCTTTCCAGGAAAACCTCAACACTTTCTAGGACTTCCCTCAGTTCTGTAGGAATCCCACTGCCGCTCCAAATCCCTCTGGGTTTCCAGGATTTTCTTGTGCTGCTTTCTAGAACCACTATGGATCACTCCCTTCCCCACCCCCATCCCTACCCCCTCTGCCCCCTGGTTTCAAAGAATCTAATTTTCTCTCCAGGACTTCCCCCTTTTCTGTTCTGTAATTGCTATGGTTTGTTGGTATAGCACCAGGAAAAGTACAATAATCCTCCTTTTCACTTTTCCCCCTTATGCTATTTAAGACCTCTAGCAAGAGGTGGGTCTGTGCTTCAGAAATAGTGTAATGAACATTCATAAAATCATGCAATACTGCAAGGTCACCGTTAATGTGCATTTAAGCCTTTCCAAAATTGATTCCAGTCACTTTTATCGTTGTGAAAGAATTATTTCATAATTTACTTTAAAGCAAATCGTGCTATCCCACTGGAGATAGGCAAACATTACATTGGTTCCCTAAGGAAAGATGCTGGATTCCACTGGCTTATTGATCTTGGCAGCCCAGAAAGCCAACTGTATCCTGCGCTGTATCCAGAGCAGTGTGGCCAGCAGGTTCAGAGAGGTGATTCTCACCAGCTGCTCTGCTCTCATGAGACCCCATCTGGAGTGCTGCATCCAGCTGTGGAGCCCTCAACATCAGAAGGATATAGACTGGTTGGAGGGAGTTCAGAGAAGGCCACAAAGATGCTCTGAGGGCTGGAGCTCCTCTGCCATGGGGACAGGCTGAGAGAGTTGGGCTTGTTCAGCCTGGAGAAGAGAAGGCTCCGGGGAGACCTTATAGCACCTTCCAGTGCCTGAAGGGGCTACAAGGAAGCTGGGGAGGGGGCTTTTTACAAGGGCCTGTAGTGACAGGACAAGGGGTAACGGGTTTAAATTGAAAGTGGGGAGGCTTAGATTAGGTATCAGGAAGAAGTTCTTCCCGCAGAGGGTGGGGAGGCACTGGAACAGGTTGCCCAGAGAAGCTGTGGATGCCCCATCCCTGGAAGTGTCCAAGGCCAGGCTGGACGAGGCTTGGAGCAACCTGGTCTAGTGGAAGGTGTCCCTGCCCATGGCAGGGGGGTTGGAACTAGATGGTCTTTAAGGTCCCTTCCAACCCAAACCATTCTGTGATTCTGTGATCTTCACCTGAGAGACAGTACAAATCTCAAACACACAAAATTATCTCTTCAAATTTCATGAAGATGTCTGCCCGAATGAAAAAAACCACAAACAACCAAAAGAGACACGCAACCACCAGGGACAGAGCCCTCAGGTCTGATGAAAATGGAACGGAGCCAGTGGTGTATGTAGAAGTTCATTTGAACAAAGGAGTCAATGAACAGACAATCTCAAGAGATTTATCTGCTACAGAACTTGCAGATCCAGTTTAAATCCTGACCTTCTAACAAACAAGTCCTGACTACAGACACAAAGTTATGTGCCCTTTCTCCTAGAAAGTTTCCTGAATATTTAAATCTGCTGGAGGCAGCCTCCTAAAGCTACTGTTAAACCCCAGGTAATTACAGCATCACTCTCTGCAAGATTATTTCCCTAGTAACGTCATCTCTAATACACACATCTGCAAGTCCAGAGGAGAAATGCAGAACTGTGTATCCAAGCTAAACTGTTAATCCAAAATACGTTATTGTTAAAACAGAAAGGGACAGGGTGTTTAACAAACTGTAAAGTGTTTTGACTCAAAAGTGTTGTACAGCAGATGGAGCTACAAGTATGGTCTGTGAATAGCCACCTACACAAGAGAACACAGAAATAATAAATACACATGGTGCATCCCATCAAGTGATTATCTCAAACAACTTTTCTTTCTACTGCAAAATGGCACACAAAGTTCACTTTTGTGAACAGAAGTTCACAACAAAGCAGCTCTCCAGGTTTCACATCAACTAAGATTGAAAAGAAATAAATGTAATCAGCTTGCAGCAATCACTGAAATGTCACACAGAAGTTCAAGTTCTTCTTCTGACCAGCATCTGCAATTACACCATCTGCGTTCCTCTTAAGGAATTGGCAGGGATACCTGCCGTCTTCATCTGAAGTGTGGGGACTGAGAACAGACGTGTTATTTCAGCATACACCAGTGACAACAGTAAAAGTTTGTTTGGAACAAGACTCGCCTGGAAGATCACGTGTCCATCCACTGCCACGCTTCCCAACCAAACCGTGACATTCCTTTATCAGAAAGAAGTGCAAGAGTTCCACAGGTTCCCCTCCACCTTCTCTGCGTTTCTCTCTCCCCAGAACAATCCGTCCGGTTGACCAACCGCACTACGCAAACCAGATCCGGAACTGTTCCCAAGTGCCAAATGGCTGTACTTAGCAGAGGAGAACGTCAGTTTTCCAAATGAAATCTTTCCGACCTCAGCTCCACAGCAGAGTAGAAACAATAAGAAATTTTAGATGAAGCACCTAACTTCTCTTCCTTCCCCTTCACAGAAATAAAGACCTGCAGGAACGGGCAAGACTGACTAGAAACATTCACCAATTCCCTATTTTCCCCTACTAGCTATGAGGTGATCAAGAAGAACTACACCAATAGGCCTGCAGAGTTCTTAAGGGGTTTACAGTGACACATGAAA